ATTGCTACCAACTGATTGGCATATACTCTTAAGATAATCAATCTCATGGGGTAGTAGATTAAAATTTTTGGGTGTTCCCAAATCCTCAATACCCAAGTTTCTGCTGCCAGACCAAAATTTCAGTTGTTCTATTGGAGGAAACCTTCTTATCCTTGGATCAAAATCAACACTGATGGGAGTTATAGAAGACACACTGCTGGAATTGGAGGGATTTTCAGAAAAAATGTTGGGGATTGCCTACTGTGTTTCCAATCTCCCACAGTTGCTCTAAATGCTTTGCAGGCTGAAGCCTTAGCTGAGGGATTCCTGTGGAGCTGGCTTGGTTGGTTATGGAAGATCTCTCTGATCTGACGTATATTAGAAGGGGGATGTCCACTGATGTTTATTCTAACCATCCTGTCTAGGGAGGGCTTTTGTTTCCTTAAGTCCTTACTGTTTTATTATGTTTCATTTTGTATTTTTGGGGACAGGTTTTTCGATAGGTTACATTTGTATTTTGTTTTCTCTTGGGAGGCCTTGCCCCCTTTTTGGGTGATCCTTGGTTTTTGTCTGTGAACCAAGCCCCATATAGCTTTGTAACCTTATTTCAGTTTAACATGTAAGGAGTCTCTTTCACTCCTTATATATATATATATTAAAGGGGAAGGATGCTTTTTTAAAATTAAACTCTTCGTCACAAAAACTTTGTTTACCTTTCGTAAATACTAGTTTTGAAAGTTTAGCAATTAGATTTATTAACTTAGTCTTTTAACTGTTTTTTATTTAACATTCACTCATTTACTCTATATTTGAATTTTGTACTTCACTTTTGTAATTTAAATTGTAGTTTACATTATAATCATAAGAATTATTAATAAGCATTTCCAACTTCCCTGTGGGATCGATATCTGTGACTCTTTTTGAGCCCTTTATTACTTGAGCGATACGTATTCTTGCGTTATTTTTATGGGATTTGTTAGTTTAAAGATTTTTAAAAGATAAAACTTTTTTTACTAAAGTTATTTTTGTTGGGATTAAATTGTATATTTACTATTACATCTGTCGTATGTATTTATTAATATTGAAAAATATTTGCAAAATTAACACACTGAATCCACCCGCATCAATAGTTTCCACATACCCAAGTATCAGTTCAATTCCAAACATATGAAAGAAGGGTAACTCTCACCAAGGCCTAATGGGAAACTTTTCGGATCTCTCCCGAAGTCCAAATCCAGAACCATAGAAGTACAGCCTTGTCATAAGGCCTGATGGAAGAACAGTGGCCCAACCTTAGGAACCTCTAACATTTTCACCCCCTCAAATTGTTCCGAGTATAAGGCTCAAATCACTCCTTCTGCTGACTGTTTAGCCCGTAAATTGTGGGCTTCCACTGGGGCTATATTTGTCTATCTCCCTCATATTAGAGGTTCCGTGGATCGGATGACCCGACTTCATCGTTATCCCCAATTCACCTCTTCTACGAGGCAAGCCACATTATTCGCCTTATCATAAGATTCTTTATAGCCTCAAGCCAACTCACTCCGAAGGCTCCGTTTAGCACATCCTTGGTAATATAGTCTAATGAAGATTTTTTGTCCCTTACTATAGCAACTCCCTCTTAAACAGTCGACCAAATTGATGCTCCCTTGAGAAATGTGGATGACTAAGGCACCCTTTGTGCCCTATTTATAGAAGGTCATAATTGGGGAAATCTATGAAGTTCCATTATTAAAACACTGATTTTATATATAAATGAATATGTTTTCTTTCTATTGAATTCTATTATTATTATTGTAGTGCAACTTCCAAGGAGTAAAAAAACCAGGGAGCTAAATACGTACACCGAAAATACGCAACACTAATTTTGAAGAGATCCTATGGACTAAGAAACATGCATGATCAAAGTTGGCCCACAAGAGATCGATGTTCACGTCAACGTGAGCCCATGTGATCCAGTGCCTAACCACGCCTGCAGAAATAAAAACACAGAATGAAATTGAGGATTTGCTCAAAAAAAAAAAAAAGGGTCTGCTAGTCTCCCTAAAATAGTTATCTTAGAGTAACGCTCAAAACTCATCAAAATTATTCAAGCGCCCAACACACACCCACATAAATCCCTTAATTGCTCTGCTGCTAAAGAGGTGGGCTAACTATTATATTATAGTAACGTCTCATATGCCCGACAGCCTAATCTGTCCTTGGCAAAATGAATCTCACTCAAGGGACCAACAACTAATAGTCTGACCAAACAAACAGATTGAACAATGTATAACAACCCAAGGATCCTCATGAGTCGACCAATTCTCTTTAGCTTGGAAGACTGTTTAAGTCACCCGACTGACCTTGGCCACGTTGAACGATTATCTTTAGTCAAGTTTATCGACTGATCATGGCTATGTTGGTAAGCCGACCAAACATCCTCAGGTAAGCCGACTAAACATCCTCAGGTAAGCCAGCCAACTATCCTCCATGAGGTCAACGGACTGTCCAACATTGGAGAACGAACCGTCCGCCCTAAAAACTAAATCGAGAAGATGAGCTTGACAGATTCTAGGGCCATCGATCCTAGACGACAAAACTATTTTTATTTTATTTATTCATATATTTGTTTAAGAGCAATATACCCTTCGACATCCTTATTCAAAATAAGAGCGAAAAAGTAATTATATAATTTATATCCCTTAACCCTTAAATTGAGGATCATTTCTACACTTAATATCTAAAGAATCATTGAGATTTATCTGATCTTATTGACAATACAATTCCCTCTCTCTTTATCTCTCTTTATACACTAATTTTTTGGATGCAGTTCATAGAATAATTTCGGATTCAATTTTACACATGTTTTAGATGCGATACAAGCACAAATACTAAAAGAAATCCAACATCTGCATCAAACAGGAATGTATATCTATGAAACAAATCTGATTTCGTACCAGTCATACACATAATCACAACACAAATACCAATAAAGACATAAAAAAAAAAAAAAAGAAAAAAACAGATTTGGTTAATCCTTGCTTTTACACGGCGATAAGCTTCCGCTCTGAATGGCCCTTTCTCACATCGCCCCTGACAACCTGACAGAGGACAACTCCACCGCTGTTCCCAAAACAACAAAAAAAATTAAAAAACACTTCCCAATTCTTCCCCACCGTTTCTCGCACGATTCACATTTCAAAGCCCTAAACCCCTTCCGTCATCAGCCTCCCCTGCAGCAGCAAGCTACTTTTCCGGCAAGTAGGGCACATTTCAAAGCCCTAAACCCCTTCCGTCATCGAAAACTGCAGCAGCAAGCTACTTTTCCGGCAAGTAGGGCACGATTGCTGGGAAGAGATCCACAAATCTATGCATCCCACATGGAATCCATGCCCACAGTTAGGAAGCATTCGAACGACATCCCCGTCGGCAAACTCCTGGAGGCAGATGGCGCAATCAGCCAGCCTCGCAACAGTCCCACCCTGTCCGGAGGAAAACACTAGAGCCGGAATAGCCTCTAGAGACGGCGCCACCAACTCAGCAGCGCTCGGCTTCTCCAACGCAACGGCGCGATTCCGCCGCCGGTTGCGGCGAATAAGAGCACCGGCAATGAAACCGAGTGCAAGGGCAAGGACAAGAGCAGCGAAAACGATGGCCATATTTTTTCCGAAGTCAGTGGCGCCATGGAACGGTGCCCACCCGGACGGCGGCGCTTCCGGAAAGTCGTTCGAAACATTTCTGTTTGGAAGCATATGTTGAGCTTTTGATGGATGAGATGGAGAAAAAAAGGGAAGGAGATGGAGATGTGCGTTTAGAATGTAGGACGGAAAGTAAGCAAACCGAAGAGGCGTAGGTATTTATGGAGAAAACAAGTGGTAAATAATTCGCGGTGATATTTGTTTATTGATGGATAAAACATAGAGCGCGAGGATCTGTTAGAAAGAGCCAGAAATAATTTTATAATATTTTGGTTTAGCTTTTTGCTGACGGCAACAATTTAAGATGTTATTAATGTTTACAAAGAAAACAATCATCAGTATAATTCTTCAAATTTCGGATGATAAAGGGCATCACATACTTTAAATTATTATTTAAAAAAAGAATATGGCATATAAAAATTAATATTTGATTAAGATAGACATAAGTATTTTAAAATCTTTTTTGAAATTAGTTTAGAATATTTTGATTATAAATTTTTAATATTTAAAAATAGTAAAGATTTTAAAATAGTGATTATTTCAAAATTAATTATTATGTTCTATTTGAGCCACAGATGCTCTTTATATCAACTAAACTACGCTATTCTAAAAACAATGAAAAATCTAATCAGATTCTCCACTTCAAGTTATATTTATATTATGTTCAATTACCTAATATAGTGATTGAGATTAAAACAATCTTACTTTATTAAAATAGTTCCGATTTAAAGGAGATTTCGTCATTCATAAGTACATCCTTCTAATTGGAGAGGAGCCCCATTTTATGCTATACAATATTTAGACCTTTATCGATATATGAAAGGAAATTTGGTGTCTTGTTTTTGCATAAAATATCTTGGCATTTATAATTATAAAAAGATTTTGAGCATTTTAGCCCACAACTCTTGTGTTTTAAATTTCTCAAACCTAGATTATCATAATTAACCACATACCACTAAAATATTAGATATCACCTCAAATATAATATTATTAAATTTTTTTAAAAAAGTGAAACATTTTCTTGCGCAGTATTAAAGCATCAAAATGATATGTATGTGAAAGTAATGTTGCAAGCAAGAGATTTTTCGGCGATAAAGTTATAGTTTAGAGTCCGTTTAGGGTGACGATATCAGTGCGGTGTGAGTCAGAATCACAATTCCCAATCGTTTGGGGAGGGAGGCGCTTGGCGGTAGTGTTGTGCAGGTGTTATTTCTCAGTGATATTTTACTCGGCTGCCCCGGAAGTGCACAAGATTACGCTTTTAGCTTCCACCAGGAATCACATAATAGGATTTCAAGCTACATTTATGATGTATGGTTTCGATTTGCCTTCACTGGTGCGCTTTCTTTCTCTTATCAGCTCTCCCTCTCTCTCTCTCTCTCTCTCTCTCTCTCTCTCTCTCTCTCTCTCTCTCTCTCTCTCTCTCTCTCTCTCTCTCTCTCTCTCTCTCTCTCTCTCTCTCTCTCTCTCTCTCTCTCTCTCTCTCTCTCTCTCTCTCTCTCTCTCTCTCTCTCTCTCTCTCTCTCTCTCTCTCTCTCTCTCTTTTACTTTATGAAAGCTCTCCATGTGTTTTTCTTCTTTGTCTTCATTATCTTATGTTCTTGCATTTTGGTTCCTCTCTTCTTCTGATCATTCATATGATCTGAAAAAGAGATTTACTCGAAAAATGGAATTATACGACAATAGACAAGTTGCCGACTCCTGAAAAAGATAAAAAGAACAAAAAAGATGACTTCTATAACTTTGTTCATTTCTAGGTCGCTTATTCGTTGTCTCCAATTATGGTATCACCTATTACGCGGTCCCTATTACCCGTAGATAACAAGTTCACAGTTGCTTCAAGTAGGGGTGTCAAAAATTGACCTGACCACTAACTCGACACAAACTCAATAAAAAATCCGAGTTTAGATTTCACCTAAATAATTTTCGGGTCAAGTTTGGGTTAAGAATCCTAACTCGTTTAATATTTTGGGTTATGTTCAGGTTGACCTGCCAACTTAAAACTAACCAGAAACTGACCCGGTATTTCAAAATCAACTTGAAATAACGTTATCAACCAAAAATTGACCCGAAATTTACTCGAAATCAACCTAAATTTGACCAATATTTGGGTCGGGTTCGAGTTATGCAGTTTAAGATCGAGGCAATTTTGAGTTAGAACTGAATCTAGCCCCAAAACTAGATTTGACACTCCTAGCTCTAAGTCTCCTCAAACGATAATATACTATTGCAACTAGAAATTTCAAGGCAACCTGAGACGACGACTATGAAAGCGTTGAAGAGCGAACCCAAGATCATGTTATAAGTCACTATGGAGTTACTATGAAAGCGTTCAAGAGTGAACAATCCAAGATCACGTTATAAATCACTATGGAGTTTATTATAATGAAGTCGATCGTCACAATGAACTGCTCATCCTTCTCTCATTAAGTGATTAGCAACGATATATTTGCCACAGTTTTTTTCTTATTTCTTAAAAGAATTCATACAAAAGAACCAAAATTGAGTACAAATATAACAAACCCAAATTCATGTTATTAAAATATATTTAAAAAGATTATTACCAAAACTCTCTTTATTTATAAGGATGTTGTTTATCTAATAGTTTGCAATTAAAACAATTATCACAATGGCGTTGTGATGCGGTAGCTTGTTTTATGTTGATTTTGTAAATATTTTTCAATATTATGAAACACACACGGCAGTACTAATAATAAATATACAATTCAATCCCAAAAAAAAATAACTTTAATAAAAATAATTTTCTCTTTTAAAATCTTTAAACTGTCAAACTTGTAATAATAACGTAAGTATACGTATCGTTCAAATAATAAAGGACTCTAATAGAGTCCTAAGTATCGACCCACAGGGAAGTTGGAAGCTCTGGTAACTATAATGTAAAACATAAAATTCAAATTACAAAACTTAAATATGAAATTTAAATCTAAAGTAATTGAATGCATGTTAAATAACATGTAGTTAAAATAACTAAGTTAACTAAACTATTTGTTAAACTTCAAAAGTAAACTCATAAAAACTAAACAAAGTTTCAGTGACGAATAGTTCAAATTTAAGAAAGCATCATTCTCCTTTGCAATGAGTATATGGATTGTGAAGAAATTAAAATTATATATATATATATATATATATATAATTGTATTGTGTCAAATATGAGTAATTTTATTTTTTACCCTCTTTCAAGTGCATAAAGAACATTGAATAATACATCGTTTGGTCCGAGAGTTTGGTCTTTAATTTCATGGTTAGCTTGGGAGGATATTGGCTCTCACTCTAGAGCTCCCACTTCTCCCTTGCCTGAGGGCTAAAAATTTTGCATTACTTTCCAATCAACTGGACTAAATTAGGGATTTTAATATATCACCTTAAAATCTGTAATTTTGCATCCAACAAAGCATTCTTCGCTATTTATTTGCTCTGAACCCCATGGATAACATCCTCACCCAAGAAATTGAATGTGACTTCTCACTATGATGTAGAAAACATAGCTCTTTTGGATCATATGTTTCTCAATGCATTTTAACAATTTAATTGACATAATCGAAAAGTAAATGAAGATTCGTGTTCAAATCACCACAAATTATTGACATTTAAAACTATATAAAATAAAATCAACACTTCAAAAAATAATTTCTCAGAGTAGGGAGAAGGATAAAGAAGACTACTCAGAATTCATGAGAAGGAAACAATAAAACACGGATTTCAGATATAAAAACAAGTTTACACAAAAAATAAATAACAGACAAAATTTATCTCACAATTCTTCCCAAGTAAATCCCTAGAAGTTCTCTTTAAGCACTTTCTCTCTCTACAAACACTCTCAATTCTCTCTTGAAAATTTAATGAAGAAGAAATCTCTCACCTTCCCTCTCCTCACTTTCCCTCTCCTCTTACAACCCTTGAAGAAAATCTCCAAGTCATTCACTCTCTCTTATACTCGCCTCTCTCTTCTCCACCGAACAAAACTCTCTACACAAAACGTCTTTCAAACCTAGACTCCCTCTCTTTAATTAGTGGTTGACTCCTTCAAAAAAGAATTCAAAATTCCCTCCCAAATTCTCTCCAAAAGTCACACTTTTTGAATGCTAAAAGACATGTCCATTCTTTCAAGAGACATATCCCTTCATTATAGAGCCCTCCAAAGTGACAAGATGCATTGAATTACTCTATGAGGCGTTTAAACCATTTTGAGCCTTCAAAATCTGCTCAAAATTTGTCCCGAACCGCTTTAATTCATCAAGTGTCATCTCTGGCGCCTCAGGCACTGATTTTGGCGCTTCAGTCGCTAAGTTACTTAAGTCCGCATTATTCTGGGTTCTGGCGCTTCAGGCGCCACCTTTTTGTAATGTGGCGCTTTAGGCGTCAAGTCTGGTACTTCAGACGCCAGCTCTCTGTCAAGTGGCGCTTCAGGCGGTTCAGGCACCAGAATCACATAATTCACTATTTTGGCTCCAAATTTTCTTCTCTTTGCTGCTTTTGCTCCAAATTCCTAAAATTGATATACCTGCAACCAAAACATGAAAATACCCTTCTTTAAAGTGTAATATCAACAAAAATAAGCATGAAATATATTCCTAAAATACACATTATTTTGGAGTGTCAAAATCCCTCAAACATAAATGTTACTTGTCCTCAAGTGTTCTTTTACTACATAAAAATATGACTTAAGATAAAAATTATCTTACAAGCTTCTATACTTTAGTTTAAAAAATAAAATTGTATAATTTAAGAAAAATTTTCAACAACTTAGATTAAAACTATAAGTATAAGAGTACTTAGTAATCAAATCTAAGATTTCTGAATCTCTCTTCATTTCAAGAAGAATTGTAATTTGTTATATCAAGGATACTTATAATATCCAAATGAGAAAGAACTTCATGAAAAATTTACTATTGAAGGTGCTAATACTCAAATATATGGTTAGAAACTGAAATAAAGCCTTTCCTAAAGTTGATTCAAGTGAAGTCAATTTTTTACTAGACATCTCCTCAAGCTTCCCTTCACATTCTTTTTTTCTCTTTTTATTTTTTCTTTTGTTCTTTTTTTAATTTTCATAATCTTTCAAATTCTTTCTTTTCTTTTCTTTTTCAACTGAGGATTATTATATCTGGATAGCATTTAATTATTTTGAACTTCACTATCCTCTTCT